TTTAAAACAGCAACACATGTTTACAGCACCCTCTTTTGTCATTCCCACTTTATTCCAAAATTTCATTTACTTCATTATTTATAGTTTAAAAAACACTTTAAATGGTTTTTACAGATACCTGACATAAAATGTCTCCCCTCTCCTTTTTAAAAAACCTTTTTTCACAGTGGATTTAAAAAGCAATACAAAAGCATTCAATACTGATTATAATGTTTGCAATGCCCAAACCCAAACTAGAAGGAGGATAAGCGATCAGAAGGAAATGAAATGCATGATGTCTACTTAGCCTCTGAGAAGATACCAATGGAGGGGTTGAAAAGAATCCTCTTAAATGTGCCATCAATATTTAGATAATAGAGAACGTTCATCGGGAATCAAAGTACATGTGCTGGCTGCGTTAGAAAGGGGAAATGAGGGCTGCAAGCCTGGGGGTTTCAGAGTGAGACTTTTGAAGCAAACACTGCCTATGGCATAGCCTCACATTTTGATAATTTAAACCTAATTTTATTTAGGTATATAAAGAATTACTTTTAAAAAATCACACCCACAAGTAAAAAATTGGTAATCTGTTTACAAAGTGCAATGAAGCAGTACAGCAAATCCATCTCCAACAGAGCAGCAGAGCGCCTGTGGCTTCTCGGCCTTGACAAACCCCATTTCCATTCACCTGGCTTCTCACTAGCCGTGCCTTCTAGCACAGGAAGACAGCGTACTGAAGCGTGCGTCCCAAACACCTGCTATTCATTCCAACAGAAGAGAGTGTGAGACCTGAAAGGTAAACTGATGAAGTACAGATTACCTGAATAAAATTTATGACCTGGCACCAGTCAGTAATCCCACGACAAGCTATTGCTTTGTAAGGAACTCTGTATGGTCTGCATGTCCTTCAATAACTGAAGATTTTTCCGGCTTTTTTCTCCAGGCCTCAGTTTGGCATAGTCCTTCTTAGTTGTGGTCCCCGTAGGTCCAGAAGATCGAGTGCTGCTGTTGCCTTCTTCATCAAGAGGCTTTCTGGTGGCTCTTGATTCCTTCCTCTGCTTCTCAATCTTCTGTTTCTCCAGCTGGGATTGATATTTTCGAACTTTAGTTATTTGATTGGCTTTTGCTTCCATCTTTCCAACTAATGTCTCCAGTTCACACTCTAAGTCTTCTTTCAATTCAACAGTCGGTGACTCCTGGATAAGTTTCGCTAGCTGCTGGTGATCAAAGCTCATTTGCCCAAACTCATCCTGCAGCGTCTGTAAGACTTCTGTCAACTCTTCATTAATGGTATTAGAGGAGGGTGGTGTTACAGGCAACTTCTTACTTTTACAACATCTTGAAGATACTTGCTTTGCCAAGGGAACATTGTTCACTACTCGATCATTGCACAAGGCTTTACTGTGTTGTTTCATGAGATGTAAGACATGCTGAACATTGGCTACCACCGCATGGCTAGGACTGGTAGACTTTCCAGCTACAAAGGGCATATCACCCAAGCAGAATCTATAATGTGGCTGTGCAGCAAAATCGTTTCTAGGACCTCTCTTTTCCGGTGGTTTTGACTTCTTTTTTTTAATTCTTCTTGCACTGGCAACACATGGAGTGGCTTTTTCTTCAAAGATAATTCTATTTGTTTCTAGACCAGTTTGCAACTGGGCTGCCTTAAGTTGCATACGTTTCCTTTCCTGTTCTTCTTCACGAAGTTTGGCTTCTAACTCTTGCATTTTTTTTTCTGCAAGGGCTTGCATCGTAGTAAGTTTGTTATACTCCTGTTCAAGAAGATCCAATTTTTCAAGTTTGGACTGAACATGATTTTGGTCATGTTGCCGTTCTCTTTCTAAAGAAACCTGGAAAACAATAATACAGCATGATCATCTGACAAAAATGCTAACAGTGGGTATATCTTTCCCATAACTGTTAATGAGTATGAACCTGTGAGATGCCTTACCTGTTTCTCTAAGACACATGTCCTCTCCATTTCTGCATGCTTTATCATATTTCTCATGTATTCCAATTGCTTTTCTAAAAGATTACATTTTTTTTCTGCAGCTACCAACTGAGATGTCAACTCTTGATTGTGCTTTGATTCCTCATTCTTTGAATTCTCCCTTTCCTGTATTTGTTCATCCAGCACCTTCTTGTATTCACTTGTTTCTCTAGACAAGGTTTTCACACTTTCTTCTGCCTGTATCCTTTCAAGTTCTAAACGTCGAATCTTCTCTTGAAGATTCTTCAAAGCAGAAAATATGGCTCTGCTATTGCTTTCTGGATAGGCAAATGTAGGTTTATTTGGGGAGCGTCGCATATCACTATTAAGGAAAGGCTTATCAGGTGGATAGACTACATATGAGGAATGATGAACCATATTCCCATCTGTCCTTGATGGTTCGGGTAAGCTGCTCTGGTCTCGGCGAGTTTCCAAGAGGGGCCGTTACACCCACGTGACCCGAGGGGTTCTAGTCTTTCGTGGGATTGGGAGTGGGTCGTCCCTGCAGCCGAGTCCTGGCAACGTTCGGAAACCTCGGCTGCCAGCCCCGAAGGGGACCGGGGAGAGGGGCGGAGACGAGCCGGGCGTTTCACGGGACACCGAAGGACGCCGGCCTCCCTCCGCAGGGCATCGATGGAGACGGGGGCAGGCAGCTGGGAGCGGGCCCTGGGTGGGGTGAGGAGCTGGGCCGTGAGCGCCGTGAAGCCTAAGAAAAAGCGGAGAGGAGGCAGGAGCGACCCGGAGCCCATTCGAAAGCCGGCCGCCTCTTACCGACAACTGAGAGCTATTAGTTGCAGGGACCGCCGCCGCCGCCGCCATCTTTCGGCCTGCCCAGCAGACCACCGCAGCTCCGGGGGTCGGGGTTCTTGTGCTCTTTCTCAAGGTTCAAGAGCCGCCCACCAGGGGCGACCTTAAGCGGAACCCCTGGTGGAAGGGGCGGGAGGACTTCAATGTCATATTTTTACAGTCTATTCCTGAAATAAGTTGAGGTTATATTATGCATTTTACAAAGTCAATATTACTTTGTTTCAAAACCAGTCAAAGACAGCAAAATAAAAGAACTATTTTCATGAACTCCATATAAATACAGTTGCAAAAATCCTTGGCAAAATATTAACAAATAGAATTCAGCAGCCTTTCTTAGAATTAAATTCCATAGACAAGTAGGATTTATTCCAGACATGGAATAAAGGGTGCTTCCAATGTGTTTTGTGACCTTAGCTTCCAGGACTTTACTGGGGTACACTTTGAACCCACAAATAAATGCTTAGTTGTTGCGACTCAGCACGGAAATCAGAAACTTTGATCATTTCTCTTGTTTCCAGTTGCCAAAGTAGTACTCAAATACTTGGGTATGTTTTCAGGAGAGACTGGTCCTTTGAAAAGTAGAAGAAGAGCACAAAAACCGAGGAAGAGTCTCAACAAGGTGGGTTGACACAGTGGCTTCAACAGCGGGGTCAATCATAAAAACAATTGTGAGGGTGCCACAGGACCAGGTCATGTTTTATTCAGTTGTATGTAGGGTGGCTATGAGTCAGAACCTAACAACAACAACAACAACAACAACAACGAAGACAATAGCAACAACAACAGCACAAAGTAGTCTTCTAAGATTTAGCCAAATGAAAATTTTAGCCATTTATTTCCAGTTTTTCTTTCTTTCCCCCGTACTGGCCAGACTATTTTATCATTGTTGTTACTGCTTAATCCTCTAAGGACATGACAGGAAAGAAATGAATGATTGGAAATCTGAAATTCCTTTGTCTTTCTCTGCACTAGTTATGCACATTTCCTCTTTATAACAAGCCCCCTGACTTTGCAAGCCGGAACCTTCCTAGCAAGCAGCTGTTCAGAATGAATGAGAACTTGGCTACCGTGAAGAGGAGAAAGGAAGTCACTAAGATCTTGCAGAGATCTGGACCTTCCCACGGGGTCGGCCTTGGGCAGCCTGCCAGTCCGGAGGCTGACTAGACTTCTGCAGTCCTGTGGTCCTCCCTCCTTGACCCATTGGGAGATTCTTTCAGGAAGGCCCTGCTGCCTCTGAATGGCCCAGTTCACTTGCCTATGGTTTTCTGTAAGAACAAGCTTCTTCCTGCCTCCCTTACTTTATTTTCTAGACAAAACCAATTCAATAAACGTTAATTGAGCTCCTAACATGTGTTGCTCATATGGCTAAGTTTTAGGAATGTGTATCTAACAGGGGAGGAAGATGAATAAACACCAGGTGATAGTTTCTATGGATGGGAAAAAAGACCTAGGATTTCAAACAAGTTCATTTGGCTTTGACTTCTCTTCCTCCTCCCCCGACCCTTGAAATTTTGCATTCACTCTCTAGAATATACTGAATCAGAATCTACATTTCCACAGATTCCAAGTGATTCTTATCTGACTGGGTACAATGTAAATTCAGTACATCGAGGGGGGAACATGCTCGGCAGTGGGTCAAACTAGAAGGAACCACTCCGAAGCCCTGAAAACAACATGGGAGGAGGTGAGAATTTTCTAGAGCAGTGACGAATCAGCTCTCTTGGCAGGAAGGAGTCAGGATCAGATACCCAGATTGTGACATGGTTTTCCTAACAAAACACAGGTTTGAAATTTTGATAAAGCCAAGATTTCTTTTCTTTTTAGTTAATGCTTTTAATGCCCTGACAGGAGAAACTTCATCTACTTCAGTGTGTTCGGTCGTGCTGTCTAGAGAAGAAAGGGTTTCATATCAACAAGCAAACTGATATCAAAATAAAGCCTTCCAGCCTAATCCAAGTCAAGTCCAGAAGTTCAATGCCCTCTTCAGGCGCACATAGCTGCAGGCTGGTGAAGCAGAAATTGAAGCAAGAAGGAGGGAGATGACAGGCCGCGGGTGAAGGGCCCTTTGGACCCAAGTTCAGTAGAATCATGGCAGGGTGCCGAAAGCGCTCAGGGTTGGTGGCAGAGTCCCAGCAAGAGAGAGGGTGAAGTATTAGAGAGAGAGGGAGATTCCCAGGTTCGGGACTTAAAAGGCCACACCCCAAGAAGGCATTAACAGGCTGTGACCTGACTGTCAAGTTGGACTCCCCCTCCCCCCCCCACGCTACACTTTCATAACAAACTCAAGTGGACATAAAATCATCTCAATACCACACTCTGAAATGGCAAACATATTTTCCCCTGACTTCTAGAAGTTTTATACTTTGACATTTCAATTTATTATGCATTTAAAGTGTCAAATCGTTTTCACACTTTTTTCTCTTGAAAGGCATTTTTTCCCCCTTTACTAGTTACCATGATAGTTTTCATAAAATTTCTTGACCATGCGTTTTTTTCTATTTCTGTTTCATAGATCTATGCATCTCTTATTACGCCGGCGTGACACTGTCACATCACGACATTGTTACCAGCTGCCCTCACGTTGGTTTAGACGGACTAGTAACCGTTGTCTAACAGAACAAAGCATTGCCTGGTCTGACAGTGCTCTCATAATAGCAGGTATGTTTGAGTCTTGTTAGCACTGTTACTGTGTCTTATTGATCATCTTTCTCATTTTGTTAATCCTCTACTTTACCAAAATATGATGTAGTTCCCCCCCTGATCATACGTCCAAAGTAAGAGAGACTAATTTGTTCCACTCTCGTTTATAAGAACAATCCTCGCTGTACTTCTTCCAAGACATTTGTTCCGTCTCTGGCAGTCCATGATATACTCAACAGTCTTCAAACTGCCACAATTCCAACACGGGAGTTTCCCTTCAATCTTCCTTTTTCACTCTTCAGTTTTCACATGAATTTCAGGCAATTGATACCTGATACCATGCCTTGTACCAGGTACACTTTAAATAGCACAGTGATATCATTTAATCATAGTTTAAAGTGATCTTTTGCTTTAGATTTGCTCAATGTAATAAGTCCTTTCATTTCTTGACTGCTGCTTCCATGATTGTGAATGTGAGTAAGATGAAATCTTTACCACTAAAATTTTTTCTCCATTTAATTGATTGAAGTTATTGGTCTAGTTGTGAAGATTTCTGTTTTTGTTATGTTGAGATGTAATCTATCCTGAAGCTGTATTCCTTGGTCTTTATCAGTAAATGCTTTAAGCCCTCTTTACTTTAAGCAAGCAAGGTTGTATCATCTGCATTCTTCAGGTTATTAATGAATCTTCCTCCAATCCTGATGTTTCAGTATTATTCATATGGTCCAGCATTCTTAATTATTTGCTCAACATAAAGAATAAATATGTATAACAAAAGTATAACTCTGAGCTGGACCTTTTCTGATGTTAAAATATACATTATCCTCCAGTCGATTGAAAAGGACTGCCTATTGGTTTTATGTACAGATTCTGCATAAGCACAATTAAGAACGCTGGAATTTTCATTCTTCCCAGTGTTATTCATAATTTGTTATTATTCAATCCGGGAAGACCCATCTGAGATTAACAATATGTCCCTCATTCTATGTTTTCTTTTGAATCCAACTTTCTCTTGTTACTTGTTGATGTATAGCTATAGCCACTTTCAAATTAGCTTCTTTTGCTTACATATGATATTAGTAGTACTTCCTGTGCTACTACAATGTAAGTAATACTTACATTGTGCTGAATCACTTTTTTGTGAATGGACACAAATACGGATCTGTTCCATTTAGTTGGCCAAGTATCTTTCTTTCAAATTTCTCTAGTGAGAGAACCCTTCCAGTGTTGCATCTATTTGTTGAAGTATTTCAATTGATATCACATCAATTTATGTTTCATCAACGTCTCACTGAAGCTTAGACTTCTTCCTTCAGAACTGTCTATTTTACGTTGGATTTTTAGAGCAACATTAGGCAAATAGGCTGTGCAAGATTTATTTAAGTGTCAAAGAGCAAAGCTGTCACTGTGAGGACCAAGGTGTGACTGACTCAAGCCAAGGCATTTCCAGGAGCCTCATATGCATGTGAAAGCAGGACAGTGAAAGAGGAAGACCAGAGAAGAATGGATGTATCTGAATTACTGTTACACAAATAAGACTGGAAATATCACGGGCTACCATAAGAGCAAATACCTCCATCTCTTTGAGGAGGTTCAGAGAGAATGCTCCTTAGAAGTGGGGATGGAGGGACTGGATCTGATGGACTTTGGATGTATTAGAAGAGAACAGTCCCTGAATAGGAACTTGGTAAAGTCGAGAGTCAGTGACAAGGAGGAAGACTCTCAGCGAGCAGGGCTGACACAGTGCCTACAGCACTGGGCTCAGACATAACAATAATGTGAGGGTGGTTCAGGAGTAAGCACCTAACAAAAATATATATGTACTGTGCGTATGTATGTGTATATATATGAATTAAATGATCTATCTATCTATCTATCATGCAGTTGTAGGGACTGGCATGTTTCCAGTCTATGGGCTGGGGTCAGGCTGATTCATGTGGTTGCAGGAGCTACAACCCCAACATTGTCAGATTAGATGTCAAGCTCTTGGCTCATCTTCTAAGAACTGGAGGTAAAAGGAAGGCAAATTGGATGCAGGATCTATCAAAAGATAATCAACTGTCTCAGGATGGCCATACATAGAGAAACACTCTTTTGAACAGATTAGCTGCTCATATCAGATCACAAAATGGAGGGTGATTACATAATAACATGCTGAAAAACCACTGAAAACCACGAACTTGATCAAGTTAGTGTACAACCTGTGCCATCACAATCCTTGCCTTGTCAACATGGCCATGAAACACATTCCCTTGAATCAGACACATTTCTTAATTAAGATAATTGCTAAATTATACTTGAACCTAATGTGATACAACTAACACGTACAATAGAAAATGCACTACCCTTGTTTACAATTTATATTTTATAATAAATAATGGAATAAAGGAATGAACAAGACAAAGATATTTGATATATATACATATGCACTTGCATAGGGCTTAAAAATTTTTATGGAACCTTAAATTGAAAGATAATAGAATTATCAAATATA